TGTTGAACTCCATGAAGTTGGCAGTTATAAATGATGTTTTAAGGGAGAAGAGGACCTTTACAATGAAAGTATATAAGTCATAAAAGCTGCCTAACTGTACCAAAGTAGTTTTGAAACATCTCGGTGAGGTGGATGTCTTTCTCTGTGTGTCGTAGGTGCTGTCATGCTCTTACTTCTGTGTATGACTCCATATTTCTGTATGTCACGGTTCAGCCCACAGAATTTTTTGTGAACTGTTCGTTTATTACTTAATCTTGCAAACTTACATTTCAAAAAAATCTAGAATTAAATTTACTTCCAGGATCTGTCAAGTGGAACAGTGTAACTTAGATGCTTATATTGTATGATCTAGAGATGACTCATGGGAAAATCAATTATGGTTAGGAAAAAGGAGGAAGGTAAGGAGAAATATACCCAATAAAGGGAGTCTTTAGGAGAAAGGGGAGATGCTCTTCAAACAAGAAGAGGTAGAATTCTGTTAAAGGTATTGCATGTAGTGCAAGAAATGTAAAATGCATATGGCAGCAGAAAAGGTGGACTGAAGGTCCATCTGCTCTGGTCTCCAGCAGTAATGGACAGCAGAAGCCTTGGAAAGTTTAGGAACAGGGCAACCAAAAAAGTACTAACCCATATACTCTATCTTGCAGCCTCCTGAGCTAGATAACTTTTTGGTAACCCTTATGAATTTTCCTGCAGACTTAGCCCAGTATTTTGAACCCATGTAAGCATTTGGCATCTACAGCATCCTGTATCAGGGAGTCCAGCTGCTGATACTTGATATTTACAACCAGCTCTCCTTGTCATAACTGAGTGCTGTTAGCTTTGTTTGATGGCCTTTAGTTCGTGAAAAGGAGCAGGGAACTGAAGACACAATATGCTTTGGTTTCAAGGTAGGTGTGCTCACAGTAATTAATATATAATGTTGAGACTTGTGGTTTTTTTTCTGTTATCTTAAAGCATGGTTCCAGTTATGAAAGGAAGGAAAACTACAGTTCACGCCAAAGAAGTTTGTCTCCAGAGGACAGGTAGAATTATTGTTTTTTCTACACCCTACAGTTCTGTATATATACCTCACATAATGAGTTGAATAAGTGTTAAAAAACAAAAAGGTTCTGTTTCTTTTTCTGTATTACTGTAACTGAGCAGTGAAAAATTAGTGTAGGTTTCATAAAATACTTGCGTGTCAATATAGCAGTAATTAAGTAGATGTTATTAAAACTAAATCTTTAAAAAAATCCTTAGCATGCAGCCTTCAGTTAAATAGTATGGGGACTTGGAAATTAGATGCTAGCTTTTTGCTTGGACTTGCATATTGCTGATACCAGCATTGTCACTTCAGAGCGAGATGGTCGATGCCAGCAGGAGGTGGAGAAATACCATTTGAAGTGCTGCCTACCGAGGCATGAGATGAACTGTTACTAGTTTACTTTTAATTTCACACTGTAGTTGGAATGACACCTCTTGTCCTGAACACAGTATCTTTTTTTCTGATAGTGTCCATTCTGTTTAATGCTAGACAGGCAAAAGTGGGTGAAACAAACGCCTGTGTTCCAAGGAAGGCGCAGTGCTGCATTTACCTTTGGTATTTGACGTTATTACCATTTAGCATTTAATTTTAAGTTCTAAGAGAAGCTTTGCTTTACAGAACATCTGTGATTTTTTCACAGATTGGATTGGATTTCACAGATGGGATTGCTTTTCTAAACCTGTTCCTGAGAATTTTGTGTTTTGGATTGCAAACAGGGATATAGACCGCCGCAGGTCTCCGTCTCCCAGAAAGAGAAGATACTCTGATGACAGCAGATATGATCAGGAATATTCAAGAAGGGAGTACTATGACGACAGAACTTCAGAAGGAAGGTATCAAGCCCTCTCTTAATCAGTAATAAAATATTAATTTTTAAAGAATAAAGCCTCATGAACCCTTGGATGTTTGCTGTGGTTTTGAGGGTTTTTTTTGTTTGTGTTTGGTTTTTTTCTAGAAGACCAGAAAGGGGGAGAGAGAGACACTATGAGAAATGGGAGGAGAGAGAATCTGATCGAAGGAAGGAAAGGAGATACTCATCACCAGATCGTAGGAGTCCAGAGAAGTCAGCAGTCCAGAGCTCACTTGCTCATGATGAGACCACTTCAAAGAAGAAGAAAGAAGAAGTGGATCCAATCCTTACTCGCACAGGTGGTGCATATATCCCACCTGCCAAGCTCAGGATGATGCAGGAGCAAATCACTGACAAAAATAGGTGAGTTGAAAGCAACATAATAAAATTTTTACTGAGAAGCAAAACACTAAAGCATTTTGGTGAAAATGGGATACCTTTTGAGGGCTGTAATCATAGCCCTCAAAGGTTTCTTGAAGGTGTATTTTTTTTATCAGAAGAAATGCAAGAGAATCAGGTTGTGACTGTACCTGTACACTGCTGTAAAGTGTAAATGTAGAAATGGGATACAGAACATAACCAGGGATTTTTTTTTTTAGAATATCTTAGACAACTGACCATGCTGGGTTATAGTGTATCTAGGGAGAACTACATTTTCATGTATCTTGTTGGCTTGGTAATTTCTTAGTAGTTAAACGTATAATTGCAAACTAGTCCTCACATTTATTCAGTGAATATTTTCTTACCTATTTTACTGATTACAACTTACATTCACATTCATATGTATAAAAATTCACTTTGCTACCTCAGGTTTGTGCATTAATAATTTGTGATACCTTTGTAATAGCTTGGCATATCAGAGGATGAGTTGGGAGGCCTTGAAGAAGTCGATCAATGGTCTGGTCAATAAAGTGAATGTTTCCAATATAGAAAACATCATCCATGAGCTCCTTCAGGAAAATATTGTTCGGGGAAGGTAAGTCTTTGTATTTTAAAACAATTATTTTGCTTTTCTGCTACTCAGGTTACATTTTCCCTATGCAGAGCAATCCCCTACTTGAGGAAGGGATTTTATGGTTGGAGGAATCAGAGTGAAACAGATGGTGTATGTTCCTTTTTCTTATTTAGGGGTGTGTCTTGTCTATTTACTTCTTTTTTCTGTGGGAAAAATATTTCTAGCCAATATTTAGCAAAACATCTTTTACTACAGTTTTCTGGCTGGGTTGTTAAAGTTGTAATGTAGACAAAAGATGATTGCACTGTTTGAGCTGAGTACTGTCTGACTTTCCTTGTTTTAATTTTGATGTCAACAGAGGTTAAATATGCTAGCCTAAAGGAGTATGGGTTTCTTAGATTGGCTACCATTTAAACAAACAAAACCAAACCACCACCCGCAAAAAGCCCTCTGAACAAAATATCCAGAAATAGTTGTGTTACATTAGATAGCAACACCTTCTCTGTCACAACTTAATCACTGTTGTTTGAGGAGGTTATAGCTATGGAATGCCGTACTTTGATATGTGCCATACCTGATGGAAAGATCAGAATCCTGCAAATAGTATAAAAATAACAGAAGAGGATTAAGTAAAATCTAGAGTGAACAAGTACTTCCCAAATGTGATTGCTGTTAAAAGTAGTAATGAAGTCTCAAACAGTCTGGTTTAGGAATGTTTTTTTTACTTGCCTGCATTTTGTGTTCCTGAAACTTAATTTTCATACAGGTATTTTAGTTTAAAAGATGAGCCTATTAAATGTTTTTAGAATACACTTGTCTATGGAAGTTTGTGTTTCTTATAAGCTTATAAATTTCAAAATTATGTAGATGAAAAATGGCACCATCTCCCTTCTTACAGTAATTTTGACTTGCAAATTTAAACACAAGTGCATATGAAAGTAATGACATGAAGTTTTACCTAGCTGTGGAGAGTTTAAGTAGAGGGTAAATAGCATCTGAACCAGACCATTTACAGTTTGTAAGCAAGGAGTAACTGATAGTTTCAAAATGAAATATTCTGTTTCTGTGCGCTAGCATGAAATGAGTTCTGTTCAATTTTTCAGCTCCAGAGTATGTATGAATAAGGTCCTGGTGCAGTTGGTATTTAGTACCGTGTAGGAGAGTTTTTGGAAGATTTCAATAGACCAAGGAGAAGAGTTGGATACCAGTGTGCACTTTGAAGGCTCAAGTTTGAGGGCTTTTTTTCCCTCCTCTCTGAGTCATAGAGCAAAAGTTAAAATCTGTGTGCTAAAGCCTTAGAAAAATCAAAACTGAGGTGAGGGGGGAAAGTCTCAGATTCTTTTCAGACTTTAGTCTTGATATAAATTTAAGAAAGAGTATAATACAAGTGCTCATTGTTTCATGATTATCTCATGAGCCGGGTGTTTACAATCATTTCAGTAGTAGTCTCTCTTATAATCAGATCTCAATTCCAAAACACATAGTGAAAATACAGTTTCATTTGAGAAAAGCATTGAAAAGCACTGCTTGGCCTATTCTGTTTGGTTTTGGTTTGGGCTTTTTTTTTTATTACTCCTATGTAAATCTTTATTGTTAGGGACCTTTTATGGACATAAAATTTTTATTTCTTAGAACTTTTGCTTGTTTAAGTTAATATAATGGACCACACTTCTGTGTTTTTCATAAATAGTTGCAGGACAGATGATTGTTTCTACTACAGACAGGATTTTCCTCTTTCAGCTTAGGGGAAAAAAACAGCACAATCATACAAACTTCAGAACGAAGAAGAGCCTGCATTGGGGTTAAAGGGGTAGTTGCAGGGTACAAAGATGAAGACTTTTTACATGTTTGTTTTCAAATTTAGTTCTAATAGGAACAATATTTAATGAAAGATAAGGTGTCAGTTTAAGAATTTCTTAGCCCAGACTGACACATTTGGGCAGCGTGTTTTGCAGAAGTCTTTGTAGCATGATAAACAACAGCTTGAAAATGACCATCTGGTATCTTATCACTATTCCAACTGTATGGTGCTAGTTTTGTGATACATACTGAATGAAAACATTGAATCTTCTATTAAGAGAAAAATCTTACTTCTGTATTCTTACAGGGGATTGCTTTCTAGATCGATTTTGCAAGCTCAGAGTGCCTCTCCAATTTTTACACATGTTTATGCAGCTCTTGTGGCAATTATCAACTCAAAGTTTCCAAATATTGGTGAATTGATTCTCAAGAGGTTGATACTAAATTTTCGCAAAGGATATCGCAGGAATGATAAGGTATGTGAAATGTGAAGAAGCAACATGCTGAAAGTTAGAATTCTGCTGTGTTAACATTGTATCGAAGGTGTTCAAATTACATACTTCAAAGAACACAGCCAAGACCAGTGGGTTGGCACTTATCATTAGTACATTAAGTATACAAGCTATTCTGGGTTGGTAGTGTGGTGTGGGTTTTTTCGTTTTTTTTTTTTTTTTTGGAAGTATGCAGTCCTAATTGTGAACAGTATCAGTATCCCAAATAGCTTCATGACTTAATTTGATTGAGGTGCATGTGTCTGTAATAAGTATGTCTGAGTTACAAAACTTTTCTTCCATATACAGTGTTTTAAAATTTCCCATTTTATTTCTTCTGCAGCAACTCTGTCTAACATCTTCAAAATTTGTTGCGCATTTGATGAATCAGAATGTGGTATGTTACTTCGTATCCAAACCTTACATGGCTCTTTCTGTAGCTTCAAGTCAGCAGTGGCCTATGTGACGATGCTGTCCCTGTTCTAAAGGTCACTGAAAATCTGAGTTCAGGTTTCCTTTTAATGCCTGCTTTAATTAGAAAAGGTACTGGTAATTGGTTATGTAATTACCATTGCATTTATGTTCCAGAGCTTCCCCAGAATTTGTGAATATGTTGGGGCTAGTATTCAGACAAATCCTGATAGAAAGCAGGAGTCACCTGAGGCTCTGTCCCACAGATCTTAAACAGTTTTCTTGCAACACTATCATCTGACTTTAAACATCTGTGTACAGGGGACTAGACTCAGTTGGAACTATATAAGTCAAATTTGTATCCAGCTCTATGCCATTTTTTTGTGTTAGAAATTGGGATGCTTCAATTTAAATTATGGCAAGAAGCAGTGTTTCAGGAATGCATTGTGAATACTCAGCATTTGGGCAAAAAGAAACTAATCCAAGCTGTGCCATTTGCTTATATGCCTGATCCTGGAAGACCTGATTTAATTGTAGGCAGGATGCACTTACAAATAGTTTCTGTAATGTAGGTGCTGGTTTATTTGGAAATGCCCTTTTTCCTTAATGGCAAAATGTTTTTCATTTCTTGGTCATTTCAGTAGCAGAGTCACATTCACTACAAAATTGGTGTAAATACAGGTGGTGAAATTGTATTTGAAGTTTTTACTCACTCTTAACTAGCTTTGTCCCAGTAGTGTTGCCTCGTGTGTGTGGTTAAATAAGTGTATTTTGGCATCCTCAAAGTCTGAACTGCTCTGTCAAGTAAATCACTGTAAGATTATAACAATCCCTGTAATAGGGTAACATTGTACATTCTGATTCTTTACTGATACTCTTTCCATAGGCTCATGAGGTTTTATGTTTGGAAATGCTCACGTTGCTTCTTGAAAGGCCTACTGATGACAGTATTGAAGTAGCAATTGGATTTATTAAAGAGAGTGGGCTCAAGTTAACAGAAGTTTCTCCTAGAGGTATTAATGGTAAGTATAATTAGCCAGACCATTTGTCTTTTTGGCTTTTGCATTAGTAAATCCTTTTCGTATTTACGTTTCTGTCTTTTTTCCAAAGCAATCTTTGACCGTCTTCGGCACATTCTGCATGAATCTAAAATTGATATGCGTGTTCAGTATATGATAGAAGTCATGTTTGCTGTACGGAAGGATGGCTTCAAGGATCATCCAATCATTCCAGAGGGTTTAGATCTAGTGGAAGAGGAGGATCAGTTTACTCATATGTTGCCATTAGAAGATGACTACAACCCAGAGGATGTTCTTAGTAAGTTAAAAACCGAAGATAAACCTGTGACTGCAATCCCGATGCGAACAAATTTTAAGATTAAATATTCGTTTTTTTCTTAATTTTGTATTTAAATAAAATCTCTCTTTTAATCTAAAGATGTTTTCAAGATGGATCCAAACTTTATGGAAAACGAAGAAAAATACAAAACGTTGAAGAAAGGTAAGAGTGTGTGTGTATACACATTTTAATATAATATTTATATATTTACACACTAGAGGGCATTTACTTATCCAACTGTCATTATCAACCTTTACCAGTAAATGATATATGTCCCAGATAACTGTATTTCAGTTTATCATAGAACTTTCCAATATATTCCTGCTATTTTCTTCAGCATTGTTTCTCCAGCTACGTTTTCATGTGGTTATGACATACCCACGTTTGTGCCTCTGCCACAATCTCCACCCAAGACTCCCTTTCATAGGTGCTGGATCAAGTGTCTGGGATAATGAAACTACTGTGGTCTATGTTCCTTTAACCTGGGATACTGCTCTTTCAGAAATTCTTGATGAAGGTGACAGCGAATCTGAAGCAGATCAAGAAGGTGCGAGTAGTGAGGAAGATGAAGAGGAAGATGAAGATGGTGATGAAGATGGTAAGTGTATGATGGGCATCTTACTAGGGATTAATTGGTTGTAGATGAAACAGGAAAGAAAAGCTTAACTTATAACATGTTTGGCAATAGTGAGATTGTTTAAGCGATGTCTGTTGCTTTTTTGGTCTTTAGTGCAAGCAGTGAGTGTTGCACGTTTTGAAAGGATATATTTGATTCCCAGGAAAATTATTGATGGATAAGCTTAACTGAAATGTTTGTGCAGACTGTGTGAGTAATTGAAAAGCCAGTCAAGCCCGGTTTTTGTGAAATACCAGGAATGGATTTCCTCACTAGTTTGCTGGTGTATTTCACCGAACAGCAGTGTTTCCAGGCTGATGAAAAGTACGAGAATTCCTTTAACTTCATTTATGCTATTATCAAATTTAAAAGGGTGAAGGAATAGCAAATACCTTACAAATGAAGGTGTTCCCAGAATGGTTATGGTTTGGAACAGATTTTTCTACCCTTGCTCCAGGCCAAGACAAAAATTTGCAGAATGCTGTAACGTAGATCTTGCACGTAACAGAAACAAAGAATTTCCTGTTAAAATCAAGGAGGCTACATAAAGTGTAGTATAGTAAAATTATACCGAAAATACCTTGCTAATAATGCAAACAGGAAATGTTAAACCCAGAGTTTGCAGTGCCTAAGTCATGTGTAAGATCTTTAAAGGGAGAGTATTCTCTTAAAGGTGAATGCTGTTTGGATTTTTTTGTCTTTCCTTCTCTGTAAAAATAAAAATTAAAAAGAAAACACCCACCACCCAAAAAACCCACACAAACCAAAAACCTACTAAACTATCCTAAATACCTCTTGAAAAAGTATTATATAATGTGCTACAGACTTAGTAAGTTGAGCTATTCTAAGAGATTACTTACATCTGCCTTAATGTTGCTGTTTACAAAGCCACGTTTTTCTTTCCCAGGTCAGAAAGTTACTGTTCATGACAAAACAGAAATTAACCTGGTCTCCTTCCGTCGTACGATTTATCTTGCTATTCAGTCAAGGTAAAAATAATGTTATTTATGCACCTATGAGTGTAGATCTTTTGAAACTGAAATTCTCTTTATTTTACAATTCTTTTTCAGTGTGCAATTTAAAAAAAAGAAAGCAGGGAAGTGTTCTTTACGGATCTTGACCTAGTTGTATAAAGCAAACTGCTCTGACAAATGGGTACCCAAATTCTCATTTTGAGATAAATCCTGTGTGTTTCAAGATGTTTGAGTAGTGCAATGGGACTTTTCTGTGGGGGTTGCTGTACGCACAGTGCTAGCCATTCAGTGTTTTTCAGGATGTGCAAAATGAGCTCACATGTTTGTGTTTTGTTAAGTTTTGTAACATGATGTAATAGTAATAAGGAGCCAAGGCATCCTGTTCTCAGATTTTCTGCAAATGTGATGACTTTGGATTAACTTTCAGATATAAACTCATGAAATACAGAACGCTTATTAAGAAAACCAAAACAGCTTTCTGATTACTTCAAAACTTGAAGTTTCAGCACTAACTGTCAATCTTAATATAATGCTCAAATATTTTTAGCATAGCTTATGTTGCACAGATCATGAGAAGTTTCCTTTTATTTCTGCAGCTTAGACTTTGAAGAATGTGCTCACAAACTGCTGAAGATGGACTTTCCCGAAAGTCAGACTGTAAGCCTTGCTTCTTACTCTTTGTGATTAACATTAGTGAGAAATAGTACTAGAATCCTTATTTTTCTCCTGGGATCTAGTTTATATAGCAAGCAGGTGAATGAGGGTGATGCCTTACAGTGGTGGTTCCTTCAAATAAGTCTTACAACCTTTGGAGCAAATAGGCTGACACGTATTTCCTCAGACTTCTGTGTTACGCAATAGCTCCTTTCTGTCAGGCAGTTCAAATGGTGCCCCATAGCCTGTTTGAAAAGGCTTTTTGGTTGGACTGTTGAAACCCTGTCACAGAAGTCCTGCAGCATGGCAGTCATCCTCAGAGCTCTGCCTCTGAGAGAACTCGGAGTTGAAGATCGTATTTGCAGGTGACTGTGGACTTCATCAGTGGGGCTTGGAATTTAGCATAATGCTTAAAAAAATGTGGCGCTTTGTTGGTTTCGCAGTCCTCTGAGTAATAGTGTACTGAATTAAAGCAGCAGTTAAGTATGATTGCTGTGTTGTAATCTTGGATTATCAGACAAAATTAGTTTTGTCTTCAGATAGTGTGTCAGGTCAGTATTATCAGTGTGTTCTCAAGTAAAGGAAACTGTCCTTCAGCTAGGACTTACCCTAGATCCTGGTAGAATGTAAATACTCATCTAATTATATAAACAGCTTTTCAGTCAGCTGTAAGCTATCATCATGAGAGTTGTGCTTGAGGGAGCTGTTAATTTCCTTATGGCTTTAATTATCACTATTCTGTGTTGTTTAAAACTGTGCCGAGAAGTAACATTGGTATAATAGTATCTGGAGATCTGGGCTACCGTTAGGTGTTCTTTGAAAACGTGGTTTAATCTAGTCATCAGAAATTGGTTTGCCTATTATTTTTTCAGTTCATGTACTAGTTTGTTACTAAGAATTCAGATGGCTGTCGTGTATTTTCTTAGCTAATTCTTTAATTCTGTGCATGAAATGCAATGCTAAGTATCCATAGGATTACAATTCTCAGTGAAGCATAACCCAAAAATTCCAAAGGCAGGGGCGCGGAAATCTTGTTTTCCAACAAATCACTTTATATCTAAAGAATAGGAAGAACAATTTAGAATATATGTGCTAGATCATACAACAGAGATAAAACTTGTGTAACACAGTTCGTTAGGTGACTATTCAGGGAGCTAATCAACTGTTGGTGTTTCATACCACTGAAGTCTCTGTCAACTACCAGCTATTCTGTGGGAAAGATCTAGTCAGAATAAAGGAAATTTCATGGAGGAAGGAAAAAAACCCAACCCATTAGTCAAAATCTTAGCTGCATTAAAAAGTAGATTTTCTTTCATCCTTGTGTTTGATATTTTTGAGATTTGACTTAATATTTGCTGCCAGATTTTCTTTTGCTTTCTGTGAATCCTTGGCTTGCTGCAAATAAAAATAACCAGACATACACAGACGAATTTGTTACTTTTCATATACTTCATGGGGTGTTAATTTACTGAATATGAATCTTTTCATATTACATAATCAAGTGAAGGGCTTATTTCTGTTTCAGCTTTGAGAAACCATATTGTCCCTATCAATCACAGATTAGAAATACATGAATGTTACTGTATGCAAAAATAAATGTGCAAACAATTTTTTTCCTGCTGCACAGCAAACAAAAATTGTAACTCCTACTGATTTTGTAGGAAAGCTCTCAGAGCAACTCTCTGGTCTAGTTTTGAGACTTAAAGCATGGGTAGATTGAATATATATATAAAATAACTGGAATCAATTAAATAAGCTAACTAATGTAGAGTACGGTAGCTTTGTGACCAGCAGCATTATAATCTCTGAAATGTTTCCTCAGACTTTCATGTCTCTTTAAAGAACAAATAATTGGAGGAGACAAAGTATGATACCCTGCTAGCTGTCTAGTCAAGTCTCTAGACAATATCGCTTTGTTCCCATAACATATCATGCCAACAGATTCTTTCTTATTGCTTTGTGCTTTGGAAAATGTGTAAAAATTCACTAAGCATCACAGTTTTAATATTAAAATTTATAGCTTTCTTTGAAAACTACTACCTTTAGATGAATAAGAATTGGTGTGTTTGAATATTACAGTTTATGGTGCTTAGATAATTTCTTTTGCTTGGCATACCAGCCTGCTAAAAAAGGATCTGAGGTGATGTAATTGCTATGAATGAGATTTTTTTGATTAAATGCAGAAGTGTTATTTTTGGCTCTTTGTGTGTGCAAGTATATATCTATCTATAGAGATAAAGAGATGAGGATCAACCTATGATTCAGTACTAATTGTAGGAACTGCTACAGTTCAGGCTTCCAAACTGCTGTGAAACTGCATCATCTTATCACGAGGCATCTTCACTGTACTCATTTCTTTTTTTCCCTTAATCATAGTCATTACTTTTCACCTCAAAGGTGTGAGAGCTTTGACTTGCTCATTGTGTAGACTCTGAGCTCCTACTGAGCGTTTATGGGCTAAAAAGAAAAAAAAACAAACACACACCAAAAAAAGGGGAGGAGGGGAAACCACCCCAAAAAACAGGTTTTCTGGTCAGTGTGAAAGCAGAAAGAACAACCAGACACAGATAAAATTATTCAAGGATTTACAGGTCTTGGTTCTGTCATGTGGGTGAAAAACTGAATGCACTCTGGAAATTTCTGGTTGAAGTAACTGCTAGTTTCTAAACTAGGAGAGTCATCTTTTATTCTTTCAAGTTAATACCTTCTGATTGAAGCTTTTAGTGAATTGATTCCCACTGCCTTCATTATCAAAACAAACCACAGAACTACTTCTTTGGCCATAAAGCACTTCTTTTTTTGGTGTGTTTTACTGAAAGATTCAGCAACCCGTATTGCGGGATGATTTGTCTTTATTTATAATTTCTCTGCACCTTATGGTTCAAAACTTTAATCAGTCTTCAGAAATTCAGAGTTTTTGGGTGCATCTTCAATGTTTGTTTACGCTTGTAAGAAAACTGCAATTTAGATGGAACGTAGGAGAGGTGATGATGCCATGGTTGGATGTTGTTTGCAGTGCAGACCCTGTAGGTAAGAGCTGACTGCCTATGCCCTCTGTGACTACAAACAGCGGTTATGAGAAGCAGGGACTAGAGTGTTTGACTGAAGTATCCCTTAATGCAGTTTCCATTCCTTAATTTTGACATTTCAAATGGGTTTTGACACTACAAATTTTTTTGTTCAAATTAAGTCTAATTTTGTGTTAAAACTTTGTTTTCCTTCTGAAAGGCTTTATTTAGTAAAATCAGCTTTCTTTAATTCTGTCATGAAGACTGTTTTCCACAGGTTTTGAGTAGCGAATTGTCAATTAAATACAAGCTAAAACCCATTAAGAATATTCAAAAACCTGAAGACAGACATAAACAACAGTTTAAAGACTAATACAGCCGTAATGACTTTCTTGCAGGTTAATTGTTCTGGAAGTCTTTTATGTACAGAGATTCTTGGCATGATTTAGCAGGGCTGAGTTCAGGAATATATTTAGCAGTTTTTGTCAGAGGTTGAACTATCCGATTATGGTGTCACGTCAGCTGCTGTGAAACACCAGTGCCTGTGTGCCTGATACCAGTAATGGACCTGTCACTCTGACTTGCCGAAAGAGGATTAAGGTTCAAATGGATCCTCTACGACTAGAACAACGCAAGACTGCTTTTTCGCTTTGGAGTTTAGTACCAGGTGCTGAGGGGAATGTCAGCACTCGGGTTTTTTTATTTACTACCCTAAAATTGTTGCCTTCTGACTTGATGAGCACATCTTTTATTTTGCCATGAACTGAAATGCTGCTTTTTCAGAAGTGCATGATGCTGTTAAACAGAAACTTCCATCTTCCATTTCCCATCTGATTTACATGCCGTTAATTTTTAGTCTCCAGCTTTATGTTCTTCTTCCTCAAAATACTCAATTATTTTCCATCTCCTCATCCTTTTTTTTCCCCACCCCCCTTTTTCTGTGTGAAAAGTTTGCCTACTACATTGTTCTATTTTCTTTCACTAGAAAACACCTTTTCTTTCCATAATTTTCAGTTTCACAAGCTCAGTTTTCATTTCCAGCTTTCCAGTTGTTCTTGGTTGTTTGTGTGGTGGGTTTTTTTGGTTTTTTTTTTTGTTAACTTGACTCTTTTTCTTGTTCATTTGTTTGCTCCAGGATTCTGGAAATATAATGCCTGCTTTTGTACCTGGACCTAGTCTATAAACTGTCCTCCTGACTTCCCTGGTCTGTTTCTTGCCCTTTTTAATCTTCTTTTAGATGACACCAGCATGTTCAATGTCGTCGTCTTGTCAGAGGGCCCTTCTTTAGAAGATTTAATTTTTAATGACTCAAGTGTATCGTTTTCTTTTGTCTTTTTCTTAGGTCTATCAAAGAATAATAAATGCACTTTCCTGTTCCTCTGTCAGTTTTTGTAACCTTTCGGTTTCTTGTGTCTTTATCCTTGCTTTTGGCATGTTATAGTTACCTTAAATGAGCAAAAGTGTTACTTCTCTGTGATTTTTTCATTGCCTGTTTAAGTGTCAAGAAGCCATTTTGAAAATTATTTATCACATTGTCTTCCTCATCCTTTTTCACAGTCTTCCATATTACAGATTTTCAGGATCCCCCTGTGCATGATGTTTTGTAGATGTTCTCTTGTTCTTACCAGTGTTTCTTAAAAAAAAAAAAAAAAAAATTTGTAACTTTTCTCACTTCTATTTTGAGGTTTCTTTCCTAAATCTATTACTAAAAGCCTGTTCAAGTTAATTTTGTTTTTCCTGTGACTTTTTTTCATACAACTTCAGCAGATTAAATGGTATTGCTGTCTTCCTGTTTCTGACTTTCCCTTTTGTTACTCCCCCCCTTCTTTTGTTTCCAACCTGTTTTCTGAATTCCTGTCCAGGTATGAAAACCTTCCAAATTTGACTTTCTCTCTTGTGCTGGGATCCATCCCCACTTGAGGAGCAGGTTCCAAGTGGACTCTTGCTAACCTCACGTCCCTCTGCTCCTTCATTTCAGATCTGTGACTGTTGTTA